GTTAAATTATAAACTTATGTACTCACCACGCGGCGTCCGAGATCTACCGCAGGAAGATAATAATATGACCTACTTGATAATGTATTGCTCACATGATCACAAGCGAATCTCACGGACAACGCCGGTCGGGATGGCTATAAATTAAAATATAATATAATTTACGGCAAAATACATTTTTTCCACAGTTCCACAGCGGGTTTCATCCAAAATGAGTTGAACAATCACAAAAAACTTAGCAATAGGCAATAGCAAAACATTGCCGTATCACTGTATCAGTTAGTAACTAATATCTAAGTAACTTTTTTTGCTTACTTAAACCAATTGCGAGCAGAACAAAACTAATATGTGGTTATAATCGTAATATTATTAATAGCAGGCAAACCACCCTAAAATTATTAGACAAGTTCAATCTATTATCTATAAACCATCAGTAGAGTATTTTTTTGTCCTGTAAGCACACTTTGCATTTTTTTTAATCTCAATTGGTCAAAAACTGTGGATTTGCATATGCGTAATTTTGCCATTTAGGTATAGATAACCCGTTACCTGAATAATAATATCTAGCCGACTTTATATTATAATCTATCCATCTATCATTTGCGTTTTGCTTCAGTTGAAATATTCTCAATTATTTTTTTTTTTTAAATTAGGTCGAGTATTTTTTCAGTAAACATCAACATACACTTACCTCTAATAGTAATAATAGCTGTTACAGTTACTAAATTTTACATATATATGTACAGAAAAGCGTTTAGCTTAAATAACAAAATATAATAGAGTCGGGCTTGGACACTTGGTTAACTCGAAGTTGAAGGGACTGGCCAAAAAGTTCGAGTTATCCAAGGATAATATATTAATAAGAAATTCTAGAGATCGAGGTATCGACGATTTCGAGTTACAAAAGTTTCAGCTAACCAAGTTCGATTGTACAATACAGACAATATTATATCTAATCACAATAACTATTTTATATCCGCAATCATTTGCATCCATTTAAATAAACAAAAAAATATTCAATTTTCATGACTGCGTGCGAGCCAAAATTAAATCAATGTGTGATACTGTTAGCCACCCAAAAGAAACGTTTAGTGGTGAAACAAATAAGGTATTATACAACTATAAACAGTCTCCAAGTCTCTAGGAATCTATTGATATAACTTTTGTTGAATTACAACAGACGCTCAGAAAAATTATAATATACAGATTATAATAATATAAAGTATAATATAAATAGATTTTTCTGTACGTCTGTCGTGAATCGTGATCGTGTAACTTCTGAACGACTTTACCGATTGAGGTAAAAGTTACATAAATAGATTTCTCGAGACTAGGTGAGAGGGGTTTTAGATTATTTTTCGACCCTTATAAGTCTTTATAGAGTGGCCAGTGGCTCACACTGCATTTTGTTTTGGCTCACAAAAGTTATGTTAGTAACTAGCGTTAGTAACAAGTAAAAGTTTTGTCTATATTATACTAGCTGATCTCGTGCACTTCGTTGTCCGTAAAAATATCGACCCGGTTCTATATGATTCAAAATTTGTCTTCAATTCGTCATTTATACCCGGAGTATTGATTTTCAAAACTTCCAGTGGGTTACCCCATCTTAATCTCCAATAAAGATTTTTAACACAGTCATAACAGTGGTTAGTGATTAATGCACTCAGTTCGATGGTTTTGATCAAATATAAAATACAGGTCTTAAATTATATTTAATCACTATAGGTAGGTAACTATTTTATTTTTTGTAACCAATAGCAATTAATTATAACAATACTGTAAGGTAAGCTGTAACCAATAGCAACCATTTATAAACTATTTTTTCAATCTTAATCCAAAATCCTTTTTTAAATATTGCATAAAAAAAAAATAATGGCAACTTAATTAGATAACAACTATCCCATATTTTAAGTTTGACCAAATCCCACACATTGAGCATAATCTTATCAAAATCAGTTGAGTAGTTTTGGAATGCATTGCACGTAAACTATCGTTGTATGAGTGTTTTTTTATATATATACATAGAGTTGCCATTGGTTACAGACAGGGCCTGATTGGTATGTATTGGCCCATCGAGATTTTCACTTCTATATTTACATATTCAGTGGCCCAAAATTACGTCTATAATTATTACAAGCTTATAGGTGGTCAATCGTATTTTAAACATGAATTTTTTTACTCACACTCACACGATCAGCCCAAACTTTAAGCGGCCCACCGAGATTTTCTCGGTAGCTTACCTAACCCATCTGGCCCTGGTTACAAACAATAAGATAGTGATTAGTTATAATTTTCTGTATTTTATCTTATTTTGCTGTTTAACCTAATAACGATATTCCATATAGGTGTGATTATGTAATATGTATTTATCTGAAATTGTGTAACAGGTATTATATATTAGAGGCAAAGTGTATGGTTTGTAATTTTGTATAGGTATGTACTGAAAAAAATATACTTTAACCAAGTATACTTGACTGAATTTGACCATAAAACAGTTTAGAATATTATTTCAATTGAAGCATAACGGAAACGATAGATAGATCTATTATAATAGTTAGTTGGCTAATACAGATATTATCAGGTTATATACAGGGTGTTTCTGAAATGTATGAGGTAACTAGTATAGGCGTACTCAGTGTGATAGCACAATGAAGATTTTTTTGAAATTTTTTTCCTATCTTCAAAATCTGGGTTTATACAAATTAATTTTAGAACATTATCTTAAATGTAAAAATAAATGGTCAAGTTAGATTTTTTGCAAAATTCTCATATGAATCAAGGTGTGACATCAGTTTCACGCTTGTCGCGCGTTTTTCACGCTCGAATCGCCGAAAAAAAAAATGGTGTGGCTCATCGATTTGTATGAGAACACTACAAGATAAACAGTGGTGCTATTTATTTGTTGTCATTTAACATACACGATTAATTAACGTATTATTTTACATTGTCAACCAATAAAAATGATAAAATAATAACAAAATTAGGGTTAACAAAGTTTTAAATCATCAAATTTACTGACATACATTTAAGTTGTGTTACATTGTAAGATAATCATAATTAAATACTAACTATTTTTAAAACCTATTTTTATCTACAGTTGTTCATTACCTGTACATTGGGCCATCACACTGAGTACGCCTATACTAGTTACCTTATCCATTTCAGAAACAACCTGTATAAAAGACACATATGTAAATCCACAGTTTTTGACACTAAAGGTCATTTGTTGTAAATTATAAATAAATTTGGAACGTAATAACGAAAATATACGGAAAATATACGCTTTGCACACTTCAACGTGACGACTAATTGACAGTCGAATTATAACTGACAATAATTCTGACTACCTATTTATTGTAGTCAATGGCCCTTAGTCGCCGAGGCTTTTGTTTTCAAATGAAAAAAAAAAAATTCTGACTATAACGATTGACCGATAATGGTAAACTCCTAGAATACAATATAGCAATCCATATTATCCGATTATTTATTACACGATCGACCCACAATGGTTAAATTAATTTTTATAACGATCGACCTATATTTCTAGAAAGATCGACCAGCCGATCGCGATCGACTGGTTGGCGACCCCTGCTATAGACTAATATATTTATACTTTATACAGTATTTAAGTTGGATTCAAATGTTATACATTTTTAACTTTAAACAATTAACGGTAAATATTTTTTGTCATTAAAACGAAATGGACTAAATTAGTGAAATATAATTAAATTAAAAACAAAATAAATAACTTAACTTACTTCTTAAAATGAAAAATTAATTCGTTAATTTCACGTTAATCAAAAAAGAAATTTAGGAAGTTAACAGTTAACTTAATGAAAATCCAAAAGTAACTAGTTGAGTTAAAAAGTTAAAATAAAATAAACTTTTTAACCTAACTTTAACTTTTTAACTCGTTAATGCCCAGCCTTGATAATATGTATTATTTATACCAGACACCAAAGCAATTTATTTATAAATTAAAATTAAAATCATAAAACTTGTGTTTAAATATATTATACCCATAGCGCAGAGTAAAAAGTTTGGGGGGGATTCAGCCCATCCCATATATTTTTCAATCACTGCCTCTCGGAAACTTTTTTTTTACCCTTCACCATCTATAAATAAATGCTCTTTATTAAAGTTATAATCCGTATCATGTGCGGGCAGTCGCATAACGACCGCGGTCCGAGAATAGAAGTTATAATATAAAATATAGTCGGGACTCGGGGATAATATTTTATCAAAAACAACTGCAGAGCGCTCATAGATCATATACTAGGTGCGCGCTATAATATTGTGTTACTAAAATAAAAAAAAATAAAAATGTATTTTATAACTTTTTTTCAGTAGTTATCACATATATGTTTTTTTATTTAGCAATATAATGATATAAAATTCTGCATGGTTTTTGGGGGGGGGCTTTGAATGTTTTTGAGCCTCCCAACCCCAATTGCGCCTATGATTATACCTAAATCTAACTACCTAAATACTTTGAATTTTGATCGAATTTAGTTCAAATTCATAACATCATATGTAATGTTTTGATATAATATTATACATATTATAATCATTAATCTATATAATATATAATATAAAATCATCATTATAATATTTCCATAATATTTTATTTTTTATAATTTAATATAATTTCAAGTTATTTTCATTCTATAAAAATATACCGATGTTATTGATATCTCGGCGATTTCATAATTGAATATTATGTTGAACTATGAATTTGAAATCCAATATTTTTATAACTGGCATAGTGGCATGTACTACCTATATGACTCGCTACCAGTAAAAATATTATGACGTATCTCATGTAATAAATTGTTGTTGTTTTATGAATAAGGTGAATTTGTGTATAATTTGTAGTATGGAGGGGTTTATCTTACCTCCTCTATCTACAATTAACATTATTCGTGCTGGCCATCTCCATCAGAACAATATAAATGTATACGTCATTATTATAACACTAGTTATTTGTTTTAGGAACGGGCATAATGTGCAATCCATTAATCGAAAAACGTCAAACTGTATCATGTTCAGTGTTGGTAACTATATTCTGTCTTAACAAAATACTATTACCTACTAATAATAATCACCAGTGGCGTATATATAATTTAATTTCAGAGGGGGGATTTCTCTTGGTATAAATAAATATTTTTTTATTAAAATAATGTTAAATAAGACCTGGCCGATCATAAGAAATGTACAATTAATATTCTGTTATTAATATACAAATGACATGCAAAATTTGCAAATTGTTTTTCATATTATATATTTCAAGAATATTTTACAATCTGCTCTTTCAGACTCAAAAGGCAGGTTCGAACAAATTTAAACTGTTCAAAAATCATTGTATGTCAAGGAATTAATTTTTACTATTTTTGTTGATAGATTTCGGGAGGTGTTTGAACTCCTCAAATCCCTCCCAGCGTTCGTCCCATAATATAATGTTTATTTGTTCCACCTATAAACTTTGAATATTATATTGTTGAATTAATTACACATTAGGTACCTACTCTGCTAACTATGGGACTTTAGGGACCATTTATTTCTACAATAATTGATCATAAAATAGTGACTAAATTCTAATGATTTTGAAATCATTAAACATACCTACCTAAATAGCCAAACATTTAAAACGTATAAACGTACCTATTAAAGGTGTTTTGACTATAAAATTATAAGATATTAACATTTTTATGTTATTAACCAAATGCTTGTAAAAAGAATAATGTATTGTATCTGAATAATATTATAAAATTATAGTAATTATTTTTTTCTTAAAACTTCAAGCATATTATATATTGCAAGTCGTGATTACAGAAACTTGTTCAGCTGTACAAATGGGGAGTGCATTGATGCGTCATCAATTTGCGATGGAGTCGCAGATTGTTCAGATAAGTCAGATGAAACCCAAAGTTTGTGTGCTCCATTGTTTAAAACGTACGGGAATGAAGCTAATAAGTTTTAAGGGATTAATAAAATGTATAATATCTGTTCTTATTTTATATTTATATTATTTATGTAAATATAGATGCCCGGGATCTGCGTTTCGTTGTAATTACGGTGCATGTGTAAGTAGAAATGCAAAATGTAATGGTAGAAACGATTGTGTCGATGGGTCAGATGAACAATTACCGGAATGTAAAAAACTAGGCCTGAGTATTCCTTCTAGCCCTACAAGACCACAACAAACTCAAGTAGCCAGTCAGGCTAAATGCTTGTAAGTATAATTGATTTTACATTTATAATTGTTTGATTAGAGTATATTGATATACTTAATGATTTGCTTCTTATTTCATAATATGTATAATATTTATTATACGTAGAACAATAATATTATATAAACCAGCCAACAGTAATCTAACTCAAACTTATAGCAATAACTCGAAAACTTTTTAGCAATATATAAATATATAAATCACTGGCCATTTTTCTTTAGTTTTAATGAAATTTTTCTATTTTAGTATTATTTATCTTTAACATGACATTACAGATTCGAATATATACGTATATATACGCCCATAGCACTCAGAGGGTTAACTCAAATTAGTCAAATTATATTAACTGTATTTTGAGAAAATAAAAAAACTGACTTTATTATTTAGACCTCGGGAAGAGTACCGCTGTACATCTGGCCAATGTATAGATATAACATCCATTTGTGATGGAAATTCAGATTGCAATGACGGATCAGACGAAATATCGGAATTGTGTAAATCAAGGGTGTACGTATACTGATTGGAATTAAAAAAGAAAATGTACAACATATGCATACATGTATCTGTAAATAGCTATTGTATTAATATTTAACGTTAAAGGTGTCCAACGAGTACATTCACGTGCAGCTATGGTGCCTGTATAAGTAAGCAAAGAAAATGTGATGGTTCGCAGCAATGTGCCGACGGTTCCGATGAAGCAGGTTGTGGTTCCAACGGAGACCGCAAACCTTTGACACCTGTTAACCCAACATCACACTTCACGCACAGACCGACCACTACCTATCAAACTAGTAGACCAACAACGCAAAGAACAACAACTCAAACCAGTAATATGAGGTAATTTCTGTTTGTGTTTTGTTTAAAGTTAACAATTATTTTAAAAGATATTAATAAGCATCGTTTAAGATGGGCCGAACAAAATATATCATTGGTAAAAAGTTTAAAACGCTTGGACATGGTCAAATGGATTTGGTTAGTTATAAATGTTGAGAGCGTCACTGACCACCGTTACGTGGTATATTATGGTAGGTATCTAAGTACCTAACTATATTAAATCGTTGTCTAGGTATCTCCGGTACTGCGTGTCTGAATATCATGCAAGGATTTAGATGTTAGAAAAGACACTTGGTTACATTATATTCTAGTATCGATCACGTTATCACACACGTGTAATAACCCTACAATTTCAAACCCTACTACCTACAATCAAGCTAATGGCCATAGTCGCCGGGCTACAAAAGATCAATTAAAAAAAAAATTCTAGTATCGAGTACAATCTTACGTAAATTGAAATAAAATATTGATAATATAAATTATTTTACTTTACTATTATTACACTCTTTGCTATTATTACTATTAATACTCTATTAGCCGATAGCAACACAAGGACCAAGCGATAAAATGAGACTAGTTTGGCATAGGTACGTATATTTAGCAGGCTGTTCGATTATTATTATACATTTTGTTAATTAATCAAAATAGTTAATAGGTAGTTAGGTATAGGTACCTAACTATATGAAGGAAGTCCGTTGTAATTCAAAACGTCAGTGTTCGGAACGTTCACTAAAAAAATGAACTCGTTCACTTTCGTATTTTTTTCAAACGAAAGCGTTCATGCTCACGTTCTTTTAAAAAACGAACGCTTTCATTGGGTCGTTCATTTAATTTTTTCTTATAAATCGTGAGCCTGCAGTCAATATAAAAGTTAAAAACCCATAAACATATACGTCTCAACTAAAAAATAAAAATACAATTTAGACTTTAGAGCATATACAATCTGAATTTATTTTTAATACCTGACACGTTATTTGAGGTACATTTTGATAAGGATTTCCTAGTTATAAAATTAAGCGAATACTAACATAGAAGGTACTTATTACAAATTCGTGGAAATCATAATATTATTGTTGTTTTATGTCTAGCCGAGGACACTGGAATTTCAAGTATTTAATTTATATATTTTGCAATCAAACAAATATTATAGGAATTATAATGGGAAAAATGAAAATATAATTATTATAATATAATTAATAATTATATTTTATACATTTAATATTTATTAAATGGTAAATAAATTGAATGTCTTAAAAATCTATCGAATTCATTAAAAATATAAACGTCGTTCACGTTCACGGGCTATTTGCAAAAAACGAGTGACGTTCACGTATCGTTCACTATATATGAACGTGAACGACGTCTTTCCAAACTGGAAAACGAGTCTAAGAAGACACATGTGGCTGGGATATTTATATAATATTATCATAGAGATAGAATATAATATGTTAATACATAACACCTTTATTTGATAAAGGTAGATGATCTTATAAGCGGAATCTTGTATTACATTTTAAAATCTTGGATTTAAAAGAAAAATTTTTAAGAATTCTTAACTCAAAATAATTTACTAATTTTCGTGATTTTTAAATATTTTGTCAATTTTTGAACTTAAAATGCTTTTAAAAAAAAACTGTGACTAAGGATTTTTATATTTTTCATCTGCCTTTGAAACAATATACTAGGAGCTTCCTGTTAAATTTTCAAGCTTTTTTAACCAACAAATAAAATTTTATTGATATATTTAGAAAAAAAAATGAAAAATGAAAATGTCCCTAAACAGTTCAAAATAAATCAAAATATTTTGAAAATGTTATCGTGTATAGAAAATGCAAATATAAACAACCAGTGCAATTTTCATGTATCTACGGTCATTTGTTTTAAAGTTACACCAAAAACCAAATTCAATTTAGTGGAAAATTGATTTTGCCTAAAAATTTCCTTTTTTCCTTAATTTTTCTTTGGTTTTTTCTTGGCGCTTTTGAAAATTACTGGGAATTTTAAATTTTGACCTCCCCAATGTACCAACTATAATTCACTTTCCAATCGAACAAGATACTGAAGCATTATTTCGACTACTTATCGTGCACACAGACACAAAAAAAAAAAAAAACACACATCATTGTTAAATCAATACATTCATCGTTCCACTCAGAATCTAAAATATTTCCAACGTTGTATTGGCTGAAATCTATTGCCGACGTTTTTTTTCAATTGAAAAAAAAATATAAAAATATAAAATGTTTAGTTTTTTTAAAAGTTCTTCCCAACATTTTCACTATTATTCACTCGAAATGTTCTGTACTTAAAATCGTGTCAAGTACTTTATTACTATCAATAATTTTAGTATCCAATAGAATTTAAAATATTTAAACGAAAACGATAAAAGTCATATACATATTTTTAATCTGTCGAAGGCTTCAAAATGAACTTCAAAATAAATTTAAAACTGTTTTAAAAATGATTATTTGAGTAAAATTCGTGTCAGTGTCAGTAGGTAGGTACATTGAAACTTGGAATGCAACATACCTAAAATGCTTATTTCTCTCAGAAAATGGTGGTGTGTGGAATCACTGGAATCCCTTTAACAGACAATAATTGAGTGTACGCCTATACAATTTTGTTTCGAAAACGGCTCCAAAGATTTTGTCAAAATTTCGTACTTATTAATACTATTGGTTTAAACAATCTAGGGGAAAAATTTGTAAATATAGATATTAATATAAAAAAAGATGTACCTATATTCGGCTTTGACTGAAAGCTAGGTAAAAAAAAAGCGTATAGCAATACATCATTCACACAAAAAATACATAATATTATATTTTGTTATGTTTATATCTTAAACTCTTAAAATAAATTAAATTTTAGTTATTACTACGTTATATTCTTTAAAGGTCATGCATGGTTCCGTATATGGAGGGCACTGTATATTCTTTATTCGAAACTGAATCAGATCAAAATCCTTCTTTATCACCCGGATCATTTGTTAACCCGAGTACCGCAGTTGAAGAGACCTGCGAAGAAGGATATTATAAAACTACTTCTAATAGAATTATAATTTGTTCAGGAAATGGAAAATGGAAACCAAAGGCTGATAAATTATGTTTGAGTAAGTATGTTTTAATGATATATATATAAACATATTTACAAAACACAGTTAGTATAATAATATATAGGATTGTAGGTATTCCTTGATAATTGACTTATTTTCATTGTATAATATTTTATTATTTTGAAGATACTCATAAAATAATTGATTTATGTTTCAAGAAATATACTAATTATGATTTGATTTATGTTTTAAGAAAGATGCCCATCTGTGTTTTCGGAAAGTTTAGATGTCGAATGTATTTTCAATGGTAAAAAAGATGATTGTTCAAACCCATCAATACCGGGCACTGTATTAACACCAAAATGTAAAGTTACACACACTATACCAAATGGACAAATAGAGACACCAATTAAATTACGTTGTCAACAAGATGGAAAATGGAGTGACCGACTTTATACATGTATCCCACGTAATTATATTTTTAAATACCTTTTATTCTAATTCATTGAAATTTGACAAAATTAATGGTGGCGAATTTTTAAGTTAGTATATATATAACTTATTTTAGTATCCTAAATTATATATTGTCTTCATTTAAAAGATTCTGATCGAAGCGATAAATTTTTGATTTTAGATTTTGAGCGAGTCGATTAATGTATTGATTTTATAATGGCGTGTTGTTTTTTTATTTTGTGTCTCTGTACAAGATAATTTTATTGCGATTTTACACTTCAGTATCTTTTCTGGTGGAAAAGTAATACTAGATGAAATAACTGGGTTTTAACGATTCACTGGGTCAAAAAGTTGGAAAATGTAATACAAAATTCCTAATAAGTCATCAAAATAGATGTTAATAAAAATATTACATTCACATAGACAAATTAAAAATTATTTGTAGTTAAGAACTTATAAAATGTTTACATTTTATATCTAACGATTGAACATTTAAGTATTTAACACAAGTTTTGGCATATAATTAAACCATACTGTAACAAAAACTCAAAAAAATATATAATAACAAGAGGGGGTTTGAAAAAATATGAAAAAACCCATTAGCTCTGGATATTCTTACATTAATTGCATCTTTAACACAAAATTATTGGATTTTAAGATATTCCATTCTTACTAATCTTAATATATATAAATCTCGTGTCACAATGTTTGTCCTCAATGGACTCCTAAACCACTTAACCGATTTTGATGAAATTTTTTACTCCGCGTGTAATTTGGTCCAACTTAAAAGATAGGCTAATTTAAAAAGGGAGAGGTTATACTGTTATACTGTTATCAAAGTTATACCAAGTTTATCATTTTTTACTTCATTTCGCCTAAGGTGGATTATTATAATCATTTTATACAAAATCCTATCCTAACCTAACCGTACCTAAAACCCGATGAAAAAAAAACAAATTTAACCCTTAGTAAATTAACCCATCTTCTTCCCAGACGTCTAATCTACCCACAAACATTAATTTATATATATATATATATATATATATATAACTATATAAATACACGGACTATAACTATACAGACTCTGGAACTATTTATTGGAACTTTTTGTATTTATTATATATATATATATATATATATGATATATGTATATTGTATATTGTATACCTATTGACAAAAAATAATGATACAAATCAAAAACATGCCCGATTAACCAATAGCAACCGATATAATATAATACACTGGTGGATTTTCCTAACATTTTTTTTTTCATATAAACCTTATCCATGAAATACTCTTTCATTTAAAAAAAATAAAGAAGATCTGATAAGAAGCTCCAGAGATAAGTAGTACAGAGATTTTCATTTCACATTTTTATAGTTAGATATTATATTACAATTTATATTTAAAAAGTAAAGCAAATAGTTTTTTTTTTTTTATTACTTTAGATTCTGAGCGGAGCGAGGAAGCTAGTGGTTTTACAATGGTGTTTATTTTATTTTTTTTTTATATCCTGTATACAAAATTTCTACCAGAAGGAGTGCTTTGATTTAGTATTTAGTATTTTACAGTACCTTATCTTTTAGCAAATTGGACCAAGATGGTACTTTAAAGAGGTCATTTTCGATTTTCTCAATAGTTATATAATGCCACGGGAAAAACCACCGAAAAATTACGAAAAACCATTTAAAATCGGATTTTAATTTCTAACGCTTTGTTTATCACCATAGACACGAATAAAAAATTATAATATTAATTCAACTTACATGATATAATAAATAATAACTATATAAAATATCCAGACTGACAAACCGTCTCAGCTCAGAATCGTTTTTCTTATACAATGATATTATATCATTGAATTCAAGTTTAATACAATCCATTATACAATGACCCACTTGTAACCTACTATACAGCAGAGCGACATCCACTTACCCGCTTTTTATTATTGCAATAGCTTAAAAACCCATGGCAACCATTTATAAACAAAAATTTCCATCGGAAATCTCAAAATTCCCGTTTGAGCACCTCCCGGGGTTGGTCCTCTCCCTTTTTAAATTAGCCTATCTTTTAAGTTGGACCAAATTACACGCGGTGTAAAAAATTTCATCAAAATCGGTTAAGTGGTTTAGGAGTCCATTGAGGACAAACATTGTGACACGAGATTTATATATATTAAGATATAAATTAATGTTTGTGGGTAGATTAGACGTCTGGGAAGAAGATAGGTTAATTTACTAAGGGTTAAATTTGTTTTTTTTTCATCGGGCTTTAGTACGGTTAGGTTAGGATAGGATTTTGTATAAAATGATTATAATAATCCACCTTAGGCGAAATGAAGTAAAAACGATAAACTTGGTATAACTTTGATACTTTAGAGTTAATAAATCATACACTTACGTACAAACAGCACAGGGTACGCGATCTATCGCAGGTAGATTACTGTTGCGAATCAGAATTTTTATTCGGGGCAACGGAAAAGTTAATATTAATTTTGAACACCGCCTACACAAAATATTAAATAACGAATTGAACAAACTTTGAGACATATAGAATTGATACATTTAACGGGGCAACGAAGTGCACGGGATCAGCTAGTGTATATTATAAAACTAAAATACTGTTTTAGATTGTGGCAGACAATATACTCCTAACCAAGTATTGATTCTTGATGGCACTGAAGCCAAATATGGATCAGCACCTTGGAATGTTGGAGTATATAGAAAATCCACTAGAAATAATTTTAACATGATATGTGGAGGATCACTGATTGCTACAAATTTAGTTGTATCTGGTAAAATAACTTTGTGCAGTGTGTATTAACTAAGTTCAAAATGAAAAACCATTTAATTTTAGCTGCTCATTGTTTTTGGCAAGAAAAGTTGACGAGTAGAATATTATTAAGCGATGGCACGTATAAAGTTGGCGTTGGAAAGTATAAGAGTGACATTACAATTAAGGACAATGAATTTACCCAGATTGTCGATGTAAGTAACAAACCGTTAAACAGAAATGAAAACTTGGTTTGATTCATTTAATATTTTGTTAACAATAATTTAGGTGGGATTGATATACTTGAGAGAAGGTTATTATGGTTCATCCGGATATCATGCTGAAGATCTAGCTATTATTGTGTTATCAAACAAAATTACACTTAGCAATGCAGTTTTGCCTGTTTGTGTGGACTGGTCTAAAAGATATTCCATTTTAAATGGAGCTATTGGAAAAGTAATTTTTTTTAGTACTTGTATTACCTATATACTTAAATTACGATGTATTAGTGTATTAGTGTATTATAAATCACTTGATTTCTACAGAAACGATCGTCAATACAGTCGGCTGATTATTTCTGGTCACAATATAAACAGTGATTAAATTACCATGCTTGTCCCGATTTTTTCCTGCAATTATGAACTTATTAAAATACCTATTTTGGAATATTTAATTAGACTTAAGGGCCATATTTAACTTGTGTTTTGGTACTTTCAGAAAACTCGTGAGATGGTTTAAAATAAATTACTATGTCAAACTACAGATTTTAAATAAATTCAAAATTCGAAAACCTCAATTTAAATTAATTATTTTTATATTTATATTTGGATAAAAGGGAATTAAATATGGGTGAACTATGACCATCCATGATAAATCACCCTGTATATATTTTTAAAAGGACGTCTCAATAATACAGCTGATTTTCTGCCTGAAATGAATATGAATGTATTTTGAATATGATTTGGTATATTAGGTACCTAATCGTAATGGAGTTTTTACTCCATAACCTAATCCAAGTGAAAATTTGGTACCTATTATTTCTGTAGTTTGATATATGAATATTCCATGATTATATCATAGAATTTATAATATAAATATGTTTATTAGTTGAATTAAGTGGTTTTAATTTCAGATTTTTCTTCGCACACAAACTTTGTTAATTTTGTATTCCTTAATGTTAATTTTATTATTTTAGGTCGTTGGCTGGGGGAAAACAGAAAAAATGGTTGAAAGTTCTATTTTATTGGAAGCTAATATACCATACATCGACCATCAGACTTGTAGAAATATGTACCAAAACGGATTTCAAAACTTCGTTTCTGTTGATAAATTCTGCGCTGGTACTAAAAGTGGTAAGTAATAAAAGTTTATAATGATTGAAATGTATAAGACCAACTAAAGGCATAATAATATGGTAGCTGACTTTTTTGTAAAATATTTATCTTCGTTATAAATCGTAGTTTCATAGTTTTGTAAAAACGTTATTTTCATTAAACTATAATAATATTCAAAACTTCGCTAAAATTATTCGAATCCAAAAATAATTATAATGCATAAACACAAAATGCTTTGCTTTTGTCAATATTATTCTTACTACCTACAATTGCTATTGAGAATAGGACAACATTGTGAAGAGGACAATATAACATCATACTTTTACGCTATCATAATTTATCATAATATGGGTTTTTGTAAGATATGTAGTTAATAGTTATCTTGTTAGGTACTTTTATTATTATTTAATAGTTATTACTTATTGGTTATTTTAGGATATTTTAGATATAATTTATCATCAATTTTTTTGTTTTTTTTTGTTTCCACTCATATTGTTATTAAATATTTATTTTTAGGACAAGGAGTTCATCAAGGTGATAGTGGTGCCGGATTTACCTTTGAACATAGCTCTTTACATTTTTTAACTGGAATTGTGAGTGTAAAAGATGCAGCCACAAATGATTCAATCGCAGTTTTTACAGACGTTAGTCGCCACATTTCCTGGATTCATGAAATTTATACGAATTATACTTATGCAAGTGACATAGTTAGATAGTGCAGTAAAAATAACTAATAATTTTATACTTTTCATCTGACCATAATTATTTTAATATTGAACTCGGCATTTAAATATATATTTTTTTACCTTTGTTAAATTTTTAACTTTTTATACATTTTGAATGATTTTATCACAAACAGAAAGAAAGAATAATATATTATAACTAGTATGTTATAATTGTATAATTCAATATTATTGAATTTATTAAATTATGGGTTGTCCTTTCGTGTCAATAACTGAAAATTTATTTATAGTACATAATATATAATATAAATATAATGAATTCCAAATTAATCATATCACAATATCCATTAGGTACCTATAACGCGTTATACACCAACAACAAACCCTGATACTATCATAGATATATAGTAGTATACTTTAGAAGTTTCAAGTAGGTACCCACAAAAATATTATACAATCACAACAAAATAACTAAAATAGTTATTCTAGGTTTTTTATTATGTAATTTCGTCCAAATTTGAATTTAAAATGTCTGTAAAAAATATCTGTGTTCATATATTTTTTAGATTTTTGGTTACAGTATGAACTATTTATGAGAACATTTGTTTTAAATTTGCAATCCTTAGCTATGAAAACTGAACATTTTATAATTTATTAATTACAATGATTGATAACTTTCGAGATTTTGATAAATGTTGTAAAAATTCGATCTTTAAATGCTTATAAAAAAAAATTGTGCCTATGTATTTTTAAAATTTTTCAGTTGCTATTGTAACAATCTATCAGGAGCCTAGTATTAAATTTTTACACTTTTTGGCCCAACAGATAAAACTTTATTGATATTTATAGAAAAAAAAACTAAAAAAATTGAAAACTGAAAATGTCTGTAAACAGCTCAAAAAAAGTCAAAATATTTTCAAAATTGTACAGTATATAGAAAATGCTAATATGAACATTCAGTGAAATTTTCATGTATCTACAGTTAATCGTTTTTGAATTACAACAAAATAAGGAAATCGCTACATGAGAAATCGAGTGAATATCCAATGTTGTAAAAATTTGAATTTCAAACGCTCATAAAAATTTAATTTGACTTTCTTATAGACATTTTTTTTTCGGTAAAGGTAGATAATCTTATAAGGAATCTTGTATTACATTTTCAAATCTTAGATTTAAAAAGAAAAATTTTTACGAATTCTTAATTCAAAATAATTTGCTAATTTTCATGATTTTTCCATATTTTGTCAATTTTGAACTTTAAATGCTTATAAAAAAAATTGTGACTAAGGATTTTTAATATTTTTCATCTGCCTTTGAAACAATATACTAGGAGCCTTCTATTAAATATCCAAGCTTTCGCAACCAACAAATAAAATTTTATTGATATTTTTAGAAAAAAAACTAAAAACAAATGGAAAATAAAAATGTCCCTAAACAGTTCAAAATAAATCAAAATATTTTGAAAATGTTATCGTGTATAGAAAATGCAAATATAAACAACCAGTGAAAATTTCATGTATATACGTTCATTTGTTTTAAAGTTACACCAAAAACCAAAATCGATTTTTTGGAAAACTGATTTTGCGTAAAAATTCCCGTTTTTCCTTAATTTTTATGTTGTTTTTCCCGGCGCTTGTAAAAACTACTAGGACAAATAAAAAACACGCACAACAAATTAGACGATATAAATAATTAAATATTCTATGAAATATTAAAATTTTATAATATATATGTAAAGACAGTAGGTATAACTGGACAAGTATTATTATATTCATGTATGTCAAATCTACATAATATTACAGATAAACATAACGTGACGTAGGTATAATAATTATTGTAAATAATAGTGGTAGGTATCGCAAGCCTGCAGTACTGATGCATACATTTATAACAAATTAGATTCCATAGACTGAAAACATCATGTCAACCACGCACGTTCAGTTGGCTATTTACAGTATCTGGATTTTCAAACTCCCTCACCATTGCATATTCCTCTTATTATTACTGACGCACTGATAACAATTTAGTATTTACTGCTTATTTTTCCGATAATAGACAATAGATATTTTTCTAGTTCAGACAGTATAATAATATTAGTATAGGTATTCACTATATTATTCTAATAACCTTGATTCTAGTCAATATCACTATCACAAATCACAATCGTCAATCGTATACAAATTATTAGTTGGCCATTATGTACAGTTATTGAGTTTTTCATAAATGTAAAATGGCCAACTCAAAAGTTAAGAAACCAATTATTGGGGGGGTATTATGACCACCCTACCCCCCCACTAGGTTCGCCCCTGACTATAGCTATATGTGTATCTACTAGTGATGTAAGTAGGACATTTCAAAGAAAAAAAATTATTTTTTTTTAATTTATATTAATTTTGTTGCGATTAAATAGCAATAATGCGTAAGCTAACTAACAAGCAAATATTAAATATTGCCATTAGGTACCTCTTTACTTATTAATTATGATTAAAAACAAAATATTTAAATGAATAAAATGTGTACAGATTATTTATAATGTTATGAAATATAATTCAAAATCCAAAATATATTTCTCTACACTCCTTAAGTTAAAAATAAGCTCTAATAAAAAATAAAATAGAATTTTTAAATTTAGAACATTTTCCATATGATTCTCTACCTTAGAAATCTCTGGAATTATCATTCTCATTAAGGGGTATGAATAAGTATTGAAAAAATCTATAAAAATGTACTTTTGTATTTCCAATAATATGGTTTATTAAGTGGTTTGAGAGTAAAAACACCTATTATCAATATTGTAGAAGAGAAGTTAATCTGTGCCTGTATAGAAGTCAAATTTTAATATTTGTAATTACTAAACTCAATAATTCAAATTCAAAAAGTAAAAGTGTTTCGATTTTGCACCCGTTTAATAGTGTGTTGATACGCGCTATCTGTGTTGTTTTGCGGCAGTCGCGTTCAGTCATTCGGTTGATCTCGCACGGCGGCGATCGATATTGATTATTTGTAATGCGTAAAACTAGAGCGCGCCACGCATTTGGTCGCTCCCTTTTATCTCATTACAAGCTTTTCTATACATAATATGTACTAAATTAATAGAATTATGTAGTAGGTACGAAAAGCATATAAAATTTAAAATACCGAAACAAATACAATTTTTTTAATTTATTAATTCAGATAAGTATTATACATATTACACAGACCAAGTATCCAATTAGTGTAGACTAAATGTATTGAGAGAATTAAAAATTAAAAATTCTATAATAATTTAATAATTTGATAAAAATAAATAAAAATAAACGTATTTTACTATGGACACTGATAATCACATCATAGACCATGACCATAGTTATACAAAAACTGAATCACGGTACCTATTGTAAATCATGAGTGCTGAGAGAGCCGAGAACGAAAAGTGAACCCATGTGGGCTGACTATTTTGACTACTGACAATATTGACTGCTTATAAACATAAACATTTGAAATATAAATATACATGAGCGATGAGCATATTAGCCCAATTAGTTTTAATTTAAAAATAACATATTTATGCCGAAAATATTTTACAATATGTTCTTGAGAATTGTACATTTTTGATATGTATCTATATCAATAAAACTAAATAATATCATATTATTTATTAGTTAATAGTTATTAGTATTTATTAATTATTATTATTATTACAATATTCCCGTATGCCGCAGTAATGCAGTATGGTATAGTATTATTCTTTATTCTTTATATATACGATCACCTATATGTTGTAATATAATTGGCTATTGCTATATATATGTGTATTTAATTGAGTTATTTCTCTTGAAGAATTCTGGTTAATGGAACAAGAAATTATTTTCACTATATTTGTAATTCCATATTATAGCAAATGGTTATGTAGTATCAATAAAAATTTTTATTTTTATTATATTAATTATTTAATTATTTATAAATTAACTTAACTTGAATTTGATTAAAAGCAACTAGTTATTTATTAAGTTTATATCAATTAAAATAAGTTAAGTTAAAAATTAAGTTAATGAAAATTAAATTTTAAAAAGTTAAGTTAAAAGTTAAAATTAACTTACCTTTTAACTTTTTAAGGCGTTTATGCCCAGGCTTGAATATATTAACTTGATTCTTATTACATACATTGTAAGGTTTTTGTTAACTCCCAACATGGATCTATTAGAACATTTTAGTTAAGGGGTATGCATACCGACCGTTTCTAAGGAGCTCGGTATAGGCAATTTTCTAATGATGTGCATGCGGGTCGTGTAGATGTGTGCGTAGTAAGTGATTATTAGTGTGGGTGACTGTGTATAAAATAAATAGTGGAGCACACCCGCACGTGCACCCACATACAAGGGGTATGAATAGTATTGAAAAAATCTATAAAAATGTACTTTTGTATTTCCAATAATATGGTTTATTAAGTGGTTTGAGAGTAAAAACACCTATTATCAATATTGTAGAAGAGAAGTTAATCTGTGCCTGTATAGAAGTCAAATTTTAATATTTGTAATTACTAAACTCAATAATTCAAATTCAAAAAGTAAAATATCATAAGTTTTAGAGTTAAATATTGGACATTGAAAATAAAATATCGAAAATCGACTCCTATACAAGCCTAGATAAACTCCTTCTCTTCATTTTGTATAATAGGTGTTCATACTGTAATATCACTCAGTAAGCTATATTATTGGAAATACGAAACTAAGTTTCAGTGTTACACTAAAATTCACATTTGTAATTAGAGTGTAAAATGTTCCGCTAATGACATGTGCGTGCACGTGCGGGTGTGCTCCACTATTTATTTTATACACAGTCACCCACACTAATAATCACTTACTACGCACACATTTACACGACCCGCATGCAAACCATTAGAAAATTGCCTATACCGAACTCCTTAGAAA